AACCAGCCATCCTCAGTAATCGCAGCCTTGGTCTCCTCCTCATTATCGTAGTAGCCCGTGGTCACACTGCCACCGCGGATGAAAATCTCACCCTGAGGGGGGGTGTTCGAGGTCAAGTATCCAGCATCGGCGAAGTCAACAAGCTTGACCTCGATCGAGGCGGGAACCTCACCCAAAGCATCCGGGTTCCAGGCCAAGGGGTCGTTCAGGGCACCCATGGCAGAGGTCTCGGTCAGACCGTAGCCGCTAATCATGGGGGCGATAGCCATTGACAAGAACTTCTGGGTGTCCTTGGAGACGGGGCCACCACCGTTCATGACGATACGGAGTCTGCCTCCCGTTGCCTCCTTGAGCTTTTTGAAGACAACGGCGTCTAAAACCGAAGCGCCCAGGGTTGAGCCAGGGAAGCCAGTGGCCATGAGGAAACTCTTGGCTGACATGGCACCCCAGAACATACCCTTGACCACGAAGCTGGCCTTGTTTAGGTTGGTCAAGACACCTTTCTTCACTGACTCCCACACGGCCGGAACACCGACCAGAACAGTAGGCTTGAACTCCTTGATGTCGCCCTGGCAGTTCTTCATAGAGGCATCGGACAATGTTCGGGGGTTACCGTATCCCATGGTACCACCCCAGAACAAGCACAGGTTCTCGAACATGAATTCAAGAATGTGAGACTGAGGAAGGTACGTCAGGAGGGAGTCCGTGTGGTTGACACAGGGACCGATGACGGCGTGAACACCAGAAGCTATTGCGACATATTAGCTTAATAAACAGTGGTTCCAAGGGTTCTCTCTGGCTTACTAGCAGCGATCACGTTGGCGTGGGTCAATGGCACACCCTTTGGCGGGCCTGTTGTGCCCGAGGTGTACATGATGCAGCACAGGTCCTCCGGCTTTGGGGGAACAGGCTCCACGGGGTTCTCCTCACCCTGCTTGCGCAAATCCTCGATGCTCTGCACATTGAGATGGATAAACTCGCTTTTTAACTGATCAAGAAGCTTCTGGTCGATTTCCGTGTCGGTGTTGTAGATAATGTGCTTGACGGAGGGCACGCTGCGGAGGATGCTGATGAGCGACTTGAGCAGGTTGGGGTCGAGGAAGATGGCAGTACTGCCGGTTTGAACAATAGAGTGCTTTAGGCCTTCCTCGCCTAGGGTATCGTATGCGGTCACAATAGTCACGGACTGAGAGGCAGCGCCTGTAATAGTAGGTTAGTGGGTATGTTCGCGCGTCACGGAGGGAAATAAGGGTAGACGAACCGTGTGACATGGCCAGCCAGTGTGCGCTATCAAGGACAATCCAGTCAGTCATCCTGCTCCAAATCTCTTTGGGGGCGCAATGTGTCTCTTACCTCGTCGCACCGTAGAGGTGGATTCTGCCGCCCTTCTCAAAACCCAGCTTGCGGAGACCGCTACCAAGCTCCAAACAGAGCTTCTCGTATTCGAGGAAGGTCTTGTAGGTGTAACCACTCAATTCAAAGTAGGTCCACTGCTTGTCGACCTCCTGCTCAACGCCGTCCACGATCTTCTTGACCTTCTTGTTCTCCACATGGGTCTTGATTAGACGGCGACTGCCGACAGCTTTGGAGTTGCCAAAGACGCGAGCGGATCGGCGCATGTTCTCATAGGTGGTAGAGACACCTTCGAGTGTCGTAATGAGGCCATTCTTCGCCTTGGGGTGTCGACGGGGGATTGTCTCGCCGGGGACGCGCTCATAGCCGGGCGCCTCGACCGAGAAGGGGCCCTTCTTGACCATGCGCGGCTGGAGGTGGATGTTTTGCACTGACATATTGACTGTGTGGCTCGCTCAATGTGGAAACGGGAAGGAGCCGGGAGAGGATCCTCGAAGAAAAGATCCTCTGCTCGAGGGGGGCGAAGGTTAGCTAGTGCGGGAATAGCGCGGAGCTAGGAAGGGGAAAGACAAAAGAGCTGTAGGAAGCTAGAGCAGAAGCTAGAACGAGAGAGCTTACCAAGTCAAGGAAGAGATGGAGTATTATAGGATGATTTGAGCATTCACCGGGGGAAGAAGAGGAGTAAGTTCGCCGTGGAAGGTTGGATAAGTGGCTGGTCGGGCAAATGACGCAGGAGGTCGGAGGTCCAAGGTCCAAGGTTTTTCGGGTTGATATTCGAGTACTTTGGACTCGCACGGAGCTCTTCTATTTTCTTTATGTGTTTAATTTATTTTTATGTATTTTTCAAATGCAAGCATTTCAATTTATAATTTGAACTCGAATAAATAGTCATACGTGAAGCTATTTCTTTTTGACGTACATATGTTGTATGTACTATTTAGCCATGGAGATCAGTTCCCGTTTTCCTTTTCTGTTGAGTTTCCCAACAATTTACAAGTTTATACGGAGTACGGGGTATATGGAGAACTATAGATGTAGTACAGAGTAGAATCACTAGAATCAGAATAACTAAATAGTGGAAATAGTCATTCTAGGTATTTTTTATCTTTTATATTTCACCCATATTCCATATTTCATATCCATATGTAGTTATATCCCTGGTCCCGTGATCCCTCAAAAAACTGTATCCAAAGAAAATACTCCAATCCATAAAACATCCATAGACATCCATGGATATCAAATCATGGACCAAATCATCAACTTACTCGCCAATGAAGAGGTCATTGACGTGGATGAGGGTACGCCACCCCCGCGATATATCCAAAGTATAGCCACTCACTGAACTCACTGTAGAGTCATTCCTCCTCTTCGCACAAGACATTCCAAGCAACAACCTTGGGATGATCAATCCCCGTGCACCAGCAGTAGAGATCTCTATCAATGGCAATGAATACACAATCCATCAATCACCATCATTACTTTCCTCCCATCGAGCGGGGGGAACCACAGGCGCCGGTAAGTACGGAGTAACGACTCCGGTGCACATAGGAGCTCGCATGATCTGCACCAGTTCCTTTATGATTTGTCCCCGGAATCCCCAGAGACACAAACCCAAGCACGGACTTCTCCGCAGGTCTTTTACCCGAGTCCGAAGTGCCCAGACCAGGCCCGAGGGTCGAGGCGTTGAATCGTCCTATCCGCTGTTTTGTCTGTGCCTCGGCTCTCGGGGTGTATGTCTCATTTGACTCGGACCCTAACACTGTCACATTATGCTTTTCTCCCAACACGAGGTCTAATTGTCACCTGCTCTACTATCACTTGGCTTTTCCTTTGTTTATACCTCGGGATACCTTGGCAACTTCCCGACTTATCCACAAAACACCACCCACTTTTCACCATCACTGCCATCAATAACGATCCATCCCGAAATTAAATATGTACTAACCCTGCAACTAGTTCTATGGAAAATAACCCCCTTATTCGCAGAATGGATCACCAATCTCTCAAACCCGCTCTGGACAAACGCTATCCTCAGCCACACCTCAACAGTGGCCGAACTCGGCACCGGGATCTCTGCGCTAGTCGCGCTCGTACTGGCATCCTCCGTACGCCACTACATCGCCACAGACCAGGAATACGTGCGCAAGTTGTTCCGGACGAATCTTGACGCCAATGCGTCTGTCTCTGTCTCTTCTAGCGACAACAAAAGCAGAGCAAAAGGCAAGAGCAAGGGATTCAAATCATCCAAATCAAAGTCAAGCTCTACAGCCAGGCCTCTCGATAATATCTCATTCACAACGCTGGACTGGGAGACCGACCAGGCCGCCTCACTAAAGGAATGTATGGATCCCGACGAGGCTCATGGTCAATATGAAGAGGACAAAGGAGAGGAAGATAAAGGCTTTGATCTCCTCCTTTCCTGTGATTGCGTCTACAATGAAGCACTCGTGGCGCCGTTCGTGCGCACCTGCGCCGAGATCTGTCGGCTGCGGCCGGCGTATGTGGCTGGTTCTGATGAATCTCGTCCGCGCCGCAGCCCGACCGTCTGCATTATCGCGCAGCAGCAGCGCTCACCGGATGTGTTTGAGGCTTGGCTCAGAGAGACGATGCGGGAGTTTCGGGTTTGGAGGTTGAGTGATGATGTGCTCGGGGAGGGACTGAAGAGCGGGTCTGGATATTTGGTACATTTGTTATTGGTGAGGGATAAATAGAATATAGCCGTAGATACAGCATAAGTAGATATGGGTGGCTTCGTGCATATGTATCTGGGATTGTATGTTGTCTAGGTACTGTATATAGCTAACTTAGAGGCTCAAGCTCCCCCTTGCCTAAATCATCACATATGACTACAGAGAGAGATCTACGGAGACGTCGAGGTTCATGGTGCAATGTGAGATGAGATCGCTGAGTAGTCGAAGAAGCTAAGCTACAGACTATGGAGTTTTGACAACAACGTACAGTGAGATAGCGAGATTGTGAGGAACATTTTCGAGTCAAACTTGAGATTATCCGAAGAAAAATCAGACTGGCATGGACATGAATCTCTTTTTCAGACCCCTGGTAAGGATGAAGATGTCGATATGATTGATATCTTGGGATCCCATGACTACTAAGCATAGTCCAGACCACCTTGCCGGTGTTGTTAGCAGGCGCATTTAGGCATACATCATCTTCTTGGTAGCACAATCTCCTGATTTAGCACCAGAAGTGGCTGTGGATCTCACGGCAAGTTCGCAAGTATAATAACAGCAAAAGTCGACTACGCGCTTTCATTTATCGCAAGAGGTGTTACGCCAATGGGGGATATTTGCTATAGTAGACATATTGGATGAATTCAGGTATGCTCAGTGTACAACTAGCTATGGAAGCATTGTATGATACTCACGCGCTCCTACCAAACGAAATCGAAGACACTAGGACCTCCCAGATATAACGAAAGGGTATCTGAATAAGACACATGCTCAAAGACAGCATTCTAAAACGCACATATAGCAACAAAGAGATATAGGAGTAACATGATGCAATTGATTATCATATTGAGAGCGCTGGTATCCGTAGACGCTCAAGAAAGAAATTATGTATGTGTATATATGTATAGCCGGCGGGAATCGACATTGAAGATAAACATTACTCCGCATGGAAAGCATCTAAGGCTCCGCATTTTCTTTTTCCGCAGCAGACGGCGAGAATTCGTACTTGCGCTTCGACGGCACGGACGACTCAGTTGGTGTAGGGGACGGACCCTGGATACCAGATTCTGACGGTGGAAGCGTCGCCAGCGCCTCTCTAGGTTCTGTTTCCGGGGCACGGTCGATAATAGACAAGATGGACTGCTTAGTTGATCCGTTGACTGTGTGCTTGGGTGGTGTTGCCGCAGCGGAATCGACGGGAGTGCCCTCTGCATCGGGCATGAACCGATCTAAAACTTCGGTTTTGACACGGTAGGAACCCTCGCGCTCGAGCTCGCCCTCGGACTCCGAGTCCATGTCCTCATATTGCTGATCGCCGTCGTGATCCAGCGGAATAGAGCCCGGGGGACTTCCTTCTGTTGAGGCACGGTGGTTGTTCATGACTGGCGGGAGGGGAGAGTTCGGGTCGTAGACTACACCGCAGACTTCGAGGGCGCGGGACTGGCTGCCCAGAGTGCGGTCTTTGTGCTTCTTGGTGAGATGGCACATGAAGCCGTGCAGGGTAACGAAGTCGGACTTCCCGCAGCCGTGGATAGGGCAGGTGAGATATACTAGGCTTCCGTCTGAGGGCCGTTTCCACAGCGCTCGCCCGGATGGGTCATGGGCTGCTGGTCGGCCGTGGCGTTCGCCCCATGCCTCCACATTTTTGATGGTGTATTTTTGCTTCCGTCGGATGGAGCCGCTGTGTATTGAGTCGTGGGGAAGCATTGGGTGTTGATGCTGAGATGGTGGGGGAGGTGGGGGAGCTTGATGATGAGGTTGAGCGTGCATATGAGGTGGCGGCATTGAGGGAGGTGGCGCCTGAGTTGAAGGTGGAAGAGGTGCTTGACGGGGCTCGGGGGGGCTCTGCTGCTTGAAGAAAGCCAATGTTGTTGCTGCACTGGTCTCTGATAGTCGGCGAGGTGGTGTAGGCCGTAGAGGCGGCGAGTCACCCGCGCCGTTGAGCCCCAGGCCCATAGACTCTCTCTTTAATTTCTTGCGTTGCCTTCGGAGGTCCTGGGAAGCTTGTTTTAGAATTCCAATTCGCAAATGGGTTGTCAAAATTTGGCTTACCTCCTCCTCTGCCTCGGCTCGCTCCGTCATTGCTCGAAATTCCTCGTCTTCATGCTTGCGCATTGCCAAAATGCGACTACGGGTTGCATTCCGGGCCATTTCCTCGTGCTCTAGATGCCGGAGTCGAGCTTCAATATGTTCCAAAGAGGCTGGACTGTGTACTGGTGGTACTGGCGGGGGATGATGTTCATGCATGGGCGGTGCAAAATGACGGAAATGGTGGCTCTGCACCATCTGCTCCGGAGGTGGCATCTGGTGTGGAGGATTCGGATTCATGGCAATGGGATGATAGCGAGGAAGATGGTTGACGAGATGGCCGGGTATACCACTATCGGGGCCAGAGTGATGCACCGGTGGTGCAGTTGTCATTGTCATGGATGTGCTGGAGGTTATACAGTTTAGAACCCTCCTGCACCAAAAGCTGAAGAAGAGAGTATGAAGAAGTCAAAAAGGGAAAAGAAACAGAAAAAAAGAGAAAACAAGATGAGACAAGGATCGAAAGGGAAGACCCATCTCCGATCTATGGGTCAACGGTTTGGAAAGGATTGACATTCAGACCTTGAGCTAACTATATTCTATAATAAAATAGTGAAAAATAATGAAAAAATAGTGATAATATCGTGACAAAATAATAAAATACAATGTCAAATAATATAATAATAGAAAATAAGAAATGACTCTTCCACTAGCGCGACCCTTCTGCACCCCCGTTATCTTGAAAATTCCCGTAACGGCGTAAGGGGATCGTCTCAGGGGATCTCGATTGTGATTGATCGTAGATATATCTAGTACATTATAGAATATTGGATAGTTCATAAAGGAATAACATCAAATATAAAGGACTAATATACAGTATACAGTGTGCAATGTAAATTGTAAAAACAAAATACAATAGCCAAAGAGAATGTTTTTTAATTTCCCAGTGTGGTCGATGGAGCCCCAACCTGAAAAAGACACTCATCCATGGAATTGGCACGACGCTAGCATTTAATCAAATCACAATCTGAGCCCTAAAGTTCATTTCCTTTGGATCAGAATGGAGTCTTAATCTACCGGACCAATGATCGACATCTCCAAATTAACGAAATTGAATTAAAAAAGTCACTTGACATCTTCAGGGGCTCTGAACATGACAAGTCTAAAAATTCTGACTGCAGTCACCCCATAAGCGTCATTGGTCCAAGCAAATGGACTATAATTTCAAAGTAATATAAGTAATGGGTACGGAGTACGAAGTACTAATTCCAGTTTCAATGACTTTTTCAAATAATTTTAGGTCCCTTTCCCCGGAGAAAGTAGGAGTAACTTACCCTATTATAGTATATTAATCAAGGTTCATGTATGGATCTCTTGATCCTAAAGAAAGCTAAACTCGATAGTCAAAAGCCTCGAATCAGAGCCTCCGCGATTGAATTTTTTCATCTGCCAGCTACTTAATTCCGGGATGGACTGTCCAATAATAAGCAACAGATCTACCTCCATTCCTGCCAAGGGTGTACTCATCCTGGAGATCATTATGTAACACAAGAGGGAAGAACTTGTTCCTGAGAAGTTCCATGGTTAGCCATAGAAGCGGGAAGAATTACAACGGATCTTGAATTGTCGACACTTCTAGTCATGTCCATGTACTCCGTACTCCGTTCTTGGTACCATCATTGGCACATTGCTCTCCACACATTATTGTCTGGTGGCATCAATCTATTTGATTTGTTAGTTATTTATCTCCTTGTAACCTTGGAACTAGACCCCAGTCCTATCCCAACTACTCGTACAATCAAGAAGAATAACAAATACATTATAGAAATGTAACTAATATTTTTCCAAGGGATTAGCAATCAAGGAAAGGTCAATCTACATATTTAGTGTCCCCAACTATATACTCCGTACGTCGTAAGCTAGAATATGGGTCTTGTGGATTTTCTGCTCAAGTGGCTTGAATGTATTTTCTCTGATGGCTACGGGTCTGCAGCAAACGCCAGGGCTTAGCTTGTAAAGGGAAGCAAAGCCAGAAAAGGGAAACAAGAGTCCTAAAACAAGGAAGGGAAAAAAAACGCCCTGTCAACAGAGTGGGGAAATGAAAATAATCACACGTACTAGGGGCACGCTAACGCAGATGGTCTCACACAAGAAGTGATCGACAAATGGTCGACGGGGATGTTATGTGGACATTTGAAAATTTTCTACTTGCGCCGGGATTTACATTAAGAGTCAACTTACACTTCAGTTGATATACAATATCCAATATAGTATTAATAGTGGCAGTTATACTTACGGATTTTGGATAATAGTAGGTAGCATGTTATATCAGTCATCTGTCTCCCCCTGTCTATTCCGGATGTCCTGCATCGAACCCCCACAAAGCCTCGTATACATATAATATTATTAGAAATAATTATTATTTACAATCATCGTTGGAAAAGACCCACTGTGGCAGCCCAACTGGTGTGTACAACGATGATTTGCTGCTCGACCGCACCGCTGCAGGGAAGCCTGCACGATTGCTTCGCTCTGTCACCAACGACTCGAGTCCAGATTGGCCTAATGGCAAGCCGTTGCTTTTCTCGTGTTGTTTTAATGTAGCCCAAATCTTGTTTCTCCTTTGTTCATATGAGAATGCATATCAAGGGCAATTGTCCGAAGGTTAAGCATGCATTGTTAAAGTTAACGGGACACAAGGGATACAACAATAGAAGCTTGCAGAAACCTACCTTTTACCTACATCGATGTATAATTGCACCTAGCTACTCCATTATTCCCCCCTTCTCATACTTTCTACCACTCTAGCTCCTCTCGACCGAGTCCACATCATTCACTAGTAAGAGAAAACTAGCGTTGATTCTCTGTGGATAATGCAAGGATGACGAGACTATACTCCGTAGAGACGATTGGTCTAACAAAACGGGCTGCAGTTCAAACCTTGTACGATGGTAGCAAAGTGGAGGCCCAGACACCAGAATTAATTAATAGATTGGTGCGATTGAAAGCCATACAGTTTCGGATGACTTGGCTCAACGTGTGCTCTGATGGGACTAAGGGTCAAAACCCGTGCGCCATTGGAGCTTCTAGCCTATCATCGTTGTCATCGCTCCAGATATTTGACTTTGCGATGGACATGATGTTGAGAGTCCAGTAATATGCTTGTTATTAAACGCGTTAAAATGTAACCTGGGCCACTGCTGCACTAGCTGTGCACTCGTAATCATGGTCAGCTTGGCCGCTATTGCTTTATTGGTTGCTCCGTCGTTATATATCCCTGGGTATACATCCATTACTCCACAAAAAAAGACATGTACGTTTTACCCTTTTTCGCCTTTTTTTTTTTGCAAGCCTTTCTAGCTGTAACACGCAGGAGGAGAGAGACATCGTAGTGTCATGCTAAATATAGCGTCCCTTACATCTTCAGCTAAATACATTAATGACATTTATAGTCCTATATCGTCAAAGACAGCGGCCACATAAACAGCCAACTTCTCTTGCATTATTGCGATTACCCATAGGATATGTTATCATGCCATACGCAGGGTGAGAAAGCGTGTCATATTGCAGTGAGATTCGAGTAGTGTGTTGTTTGCCCCTGTGGCTATGAAGTCTGGATTGGCCGGTATGAAGCAACTACATATACATCTGTGTAGAGTTGGAAGCTGATAGGCTGGAAGGAACTACGTCTGCATCGGTGAGGCAGCAAATGTGCAAACTATGCGTCTCACTGGCAGATATGTGAAACCCACGTACACATGCACATTGCTTAACGTTGATACAACTAGATCCTACAGTTCAGAGTTGGAAGATAATAATTGTGAAGCGAGAGGAGAATTGTCCGATTTCTATTGTCACATGCCCATGAAAACCAAAGCCTACCACGTCCTTTTTTGTGGCCCCCCTACCGTAATGTCATTAGATACAATTGTAGACAATCCCGGAATGACCACTTCCAGGCGATGAACCTGAACAGTGACACGAGGGCAGAAAAGAAAAAAAAATAAGGAATCATACATGGGTGTGGTAGTTGAACACCGATACACCGGAAAACGCAAAGGGGTAAAAAAGGGCCTTGAAAGTATGTGTACAGGTAAATGCGAGAAAAGGAGATGCAAAAATCAGGGAGTCTCTGAACACAAAGGAAACATCAAAAGGAAACAATAGAAAAAATACAGGAACCATTTACGGTTCAGGTGTGGCAGCTATAGAGGGAAAAGCGTTTACTGCTTGTTCTCACCCTGCTGCTCACCGCCCTGCTGCTGCTGCTGCTGCTGCTGCTGCTCGTTGTTGGCCTTGTGCATCTTATCGAAGAGGGTCAAGCTGGCAGTCTGGAGGTCGTCGACCTTCTCCTTGAGCTCCTCAGCAGTGGTGGTGCTCTCGCCGGACTGGCTCTTGACAACGAACTCACGGAGAGTAGCGATCTTCTCCTTGATGGTCTCGGCCTCGGCCTTGTCAAGACGGTCCTCGAAGTCCTTGAGGGCCTTCTCAGTGTCGTTCAGGACGCTGTCGGCGCGGTTGGCGGCCTCAATGGCGGCCTTGCGCTCCTTATCAGTCTCAGCGTACTTCTCGGACTCCTCGACCATGGACTGGATCTCGGCATCGGAGAGACCGGAACCGGAGGCAATGGTGATGGACTGGTCCTTGTTGGTGGACTTGTCTTTGGCGTTGACGTGGACGATGGAGTCAGCGTCAATGTCGAAGGTGACCTCGATCTGGGGCACACCGCGGTGAGCCGGGGGGATGCCAACAAGCTGGAAGTTGCCCAGCATCTTGTTGTCACGGACGAGCTCACGCTCACCCTGGTAGACCTTGATCTCAACAGCGGTCTGCATGTCAGCAGCGGTGGAGAAGGTCTGGGACTTCTTGGTGGGGATGGTGGTGTTGCGGTTGATCAGACGGGTGAAGACACCGCCGAGGGTCTCGATACCGAGGGAAAGAGGGGTGACATCGAGCAGGAGGACGTCAGTGACCTCACCAGCCAGGACGGCACCTTGAATAGCGGCACCGATGGCAACAGCCTCGTCAGGGTTGACGGACTTGGAGGGCTCGCGGCCGAAGATGGACTTGACGGACTCAGTGACCTTGGGCATACGGGTCATACCACCGACCAGGATGATATCCTGAATGTCGCCAGACTGGAGGTTGGCATCCTTCAGGGCCTTGCGGACAGGCTCAGTGGTGCGGCTGATAAGGGGGTCAACCAGAGCCTCGAGCTGAGCACGGGTCATCTTCTGGGTGATGTGCAAAGCTCCGCTGGCGCCGGCAGTGATGAAGGGAAGACTGATCTCAGTCTGGAGGGAAGAGGACAGCTCGATCTTGGCCTTCTCGGCGGCCTCACGAATACGCTGGATGGCCATACGGTCGCCGGTAAGGTCGACGCCGGTCTCCTT